CTGATATCGTCGAAGTCGTTGTTATGACGAGGACCATCAGGGCGAAGATTACCTGCAGGATCGTAGTGGATCGCCAATGCCCCGATAACCGAGCGAGTGCCTACTTCCTTCGTAAGAGCAGGCTCATCTGGGCCAGCTCTACGCGTAATTGCTGCGGTCTCTCTAGTCGCCATCGAGAGAAGACGTTTCAAATCTCTGTGTAGTTTGTCCAGCATCACCTGTTTGGCATGCGTATCGTTCATCTCCGTATTGACAAAGCCTCCCGCATCCCATAGAGCAACCCATGAGGAAATAGACTCAGTGAGTGGAACCAAAGTCTGATGGTCTCGAAATGCCCCTTTGAAGCGACTGATGTATCTAGACATCGATTAGCGCCACAGCAATGTGGACTTCATTGTTACTTACTCCACTAAAACTTGAATCAAGGTCCTAAAGACTTCGGCACCGCAGCTAAGTCCGAACGGCCTGTCTTCAAAGGACTTACGCTTGGTGATATCGGTCATACAGGTTGTGATTATGGTCGAAACACGGTCGAAATTGGTGTGTATCAGACCATAAAGTGAACTGAATAATGACGTTATATCAAAGTTTAGTTTGAACTGACGGACCCACTTGACACGAATTCCCATAGTACTGTCCAAGACAAATCTGGACACGAGGTACTACGAGTGAGGCAATTCAGTAGGTAGAGGAAGATAGAGTCGCAGTTGCTTACTCCAAGACATGGAATATACGCTGACGTGAAAGAGATTGGCTCTCGACGCGCGTTGACTTGGACGATCACCGGATCGAAAGTGAGAACGGTTTCGATCCTGGAGAGTCCATGGGTCTGCAGAAATACATAAGTATATGAGATGCCGAAATAATCAATACTTGCCTCAGTTATAATTTCGAGAAACCTTTGACAATCTTTTTCGTCCTAGCTCTATCGTCAGCTGGGAGTATCTAGGATGACTGTACTAACCCAGCCGCTATCCTTTGAACTGGCATTAGCCAAAAGGTTGACAAATTTCATGATTTGTGCCGGTTTAGTAAGGACAGATCCGGATGCGCAGATGATGGAGAGTTGGTAAAGAGCTTTGCTAGCAGGGATGGGCGAAAAGCCTGCCGGCTCGAGAGATCTCTCTGCAAGGGTTGGTGCCTTATTTGCTCCACGGTGAGACGACGAGGGAGCACCGGATCCACGCTGCTTGGTGACGGAAGCACCGTCAGGCTCCGTGTGACGATACGTGCAAGAGTTTCGTTTGCAGCTCTCTCCAGCGAAGTAAAATTTGCATACACCATTAGGAGCCCCGGTTTTGGTCTGAGGTCGCCGTGGTTTCGATGTTGGGGATTTTGCAGATGCGGTGGGACCGCGCTGGGCATTCTCAGGATTCTGGTGCAGAAGCCGACAGTGGTTACGTCTACAGCCTCCAGCGGTCT